AGTTATTTCCGCTAATCTGGCATTTAAAAAAATGGGGTAGAGGGTGTGGTGCTTATTTACGGTAGAATACGGTAATAGAAAAAATTTCATCGTGAAATTTTAGTATAAGCTATGCCCTTTCTCATCCTTAACCCTAACCCTAAGGCCGCTTGCAATTAAATTTTCGGTTAACATCACTTTTAGAACTCTTGGAAGGGAGGGGAGGGGAGGGATAAAATTAAACGAACATATAGAATGAACAAATATGAGACAATTTGGTTGGTTGATGTAAACCAAGATATTGGTGAGAGTTATCCAGCGTTTTGATTGGTTGTTCGTTTCTCGGGGGAAGCCTTCAGCTGGGGGTGATGTTAACCGAAGAATCAACTTCGAACGGCCTAAAGCTGATGCTTATTACTTTAAAATTTTTCACATAACTCAATTGATCACTTCAAATATTTTTATAATGTAAATATTCTAAGCTGGCTTATTTCTCTTCCTATTTGTTAAGGCATTTTTCATCTTTTTATAAAAGTGAATACAAGAAGAAAGCATTTATAATTGGGTCTGTATTCTTTTAATTAATTCAAGTCAGTTCTGAAAAATGATGAAATTTTAAATAGTAAAAGAAAATGGTCTTGAGCTTTACAGGTCTATCAACTATTTTATACTTTGATATTTCTTATCTTTAGATAGAATCGGTCTTGAGCCTTACCACACTACCAATTGAACCATCCTTTTCATATTTCAATACTTTTTACCTTTGGTTTTAAGTCTTACAGCTCTACCAACTATTTTATACTTTAATATTTCTTATCTTTAGATAGAATTGGTCTTGAGTCTTACAGCTTTACCAACCATTTTATACTTTGATATTTCTTACCTTTGATAGAATTGGTCTTGAGCCTTTCAGCTCTACCAATCGAACTACTTTTCAATTCAATTAATTATTTTATCCTTAGAATTTCTAATTTTTATCTACTTTTTTATTTGTTTGATGAATATTTTATTTCAATTATTAACAACTTATGCATTCTATATTTAAGCAAGATGAAAAAATAATCTAGAAAAATTGGACAAAGATTCAATTAAATATCAAGTGACATAGAACGTTTTTAGAAATAGAAAAAAATATATAATTTCAACTAAGAAAATCGTTGGTATAAAATGGTTGAAAATATAATAGTGAGTAAAACATTTTTGATTTAATTTGATATCTTTCTAAATAAGACTGTTTTCATAGATGTTGTTTTTGATCTGATATATGTTAAATATAAAATATAGATATCCATTTATTTTTACTAATTGATATAAAATCTGTATCTAAATATAATTGCTTTTTATGATGCAAAATTTGATTGATATAGATATGAATCTTTTACAGATTCAAGCCAAAAAGCAAATAGAGAAACATGTATTTCATTATCATCACATTCATCATTACCACATTCGTCATCACCACATTCATCATTACGTTCTTCATCTCCATGCTCAAAATGCAATATTTATAATTATAATAGTGAATTGGAGAAATATATTTGTTAATCTGAATGTCAACCATTTTTCTAATGAAATTGGTAATCAAAGCAATAGAATTCACCCAGATGGTCAATTTATATGTGCAAGCATATCTCATTGATTTACAATAGAAGTAGAAGCTCTTGAATCTAGTAAAACTGTGAATTCAACTATTAATAAGAAACAAATAGATCGATCAAAGCTTATATTAGCAATGCTGATGTCCAGGGCTAATGTTCATGACAAATTTGATCCTACATATATGTACAATCTATTCAAAAATTGCTTGAAAAGATTGGATATATTACTTTGCAAGTGCATAACGAAAAATTAATACATGGGTATGATTTCACTTAAAGTTCTATAAAAGGTTAAATAAATATTAATTGATGTCTTGATTTCAGTTCGGCCTACAGTTAGAGTTGGATTAACAATTCTTTGGAACATTGAGTTATTAGTTAAATTTATTGCTAAAATTAAAAAATTACAAAGGTATTTAGAGGGAATCGATGCTAATTTTGAAATATTAGCCAATCACCTTGATATTGAACCCTATTAGAGCCATTAATTAGAAAAGAAAAATTTTATTAAAAATTTATTCATTTCAAATTATCTGAAATATTGGCGTGCTGGTCAGCCATTTCAGAAGACTATAAATGTAAATAAGAGTTTCATATGTTTGTTTTTTTTTGATATTCGCATTATAAAATTTTATTTATGTGTTAATTGAATGTGGCCTACAGAATTTTCTATAATTTAATAAATGTCGCGGCCAAGCTGGAAATTAGGGACCCATTTAAAAATATAAGTCTGACTAAAATCCACTTATACTCTTTCATGATCAAAACTAATCCTAAATCCTAACCTGACTATAAAAAAATGCATTCCAAAAAAACAAAATTTCATATTAAACTTCCAGTTTCAGCGTGACAATAAATATTTTAATTAATTAAAAAATGCGCTCCCGTACCTCTTTCAGGTTTCTTTTTGAAATAATTCTTTCAGAATGTTCATTAAAGGTTCCATTATTTACATCTCCGTTTATAGTCCCACTGATGCCTGCAAATGTAGGTTGGTGGAGATAGATTGGGGATATACTGATCTCTTTGAAACGATTCTCTTCCCATTCTCTTGCTTGTTTATAGTCAGGTCGAGTATTCTAGCATAAGCTTTTAAGAATTAGTAAATATTTTAACTAAGCAACATTTCTCGACTTCAACATAACATTCCATTGGATAGACCTAAAGACTTTAGCATCAGGCAAACCTAAAGATTACCCGTGCCCCAATGGGACCAGCATTGGGTCGACCTAAAGACTTGAACATCGGGCAAACCTAAAGATTACCCGTGCCCCAATGCTAGTTTTCTGGCTCGACCTAAAGACTTGAATGACAGGAAACCTAAAGATTCCTGTCACGCCATTTATGAAATCTACATTTCAATAAAATAATTTTTTACTTGCCTCTCTATACCTATCAAGAAGTTATGCTTTTTCTTGTCTACTTTCTTTTTCGTTGTCTTTAATTAACTCAAGACTTTTTATATATAAACCTATCTTTAACTGGAACGGTTTTTTTTCACTTTCAATGACATTATTATGAGGTCAAATTGGTCAGACTGGTATGTTTTTCCTGATAATAAATACATAGAATCGGTGCACAAAGATAAGTTGATAAGTTTTTACCAAAGCATCACATCAATTTCCATAAAGAGGAGCGGATCACAACGTTAAACCTCGATATGGAAGACGTATGTACATAAATGAACTGGAATATGTAGTACAGGCATGAATGAGTGATTGTCACATGCTAGCCAGCCAATTAAAATCGGTAACTTTTAAGCAACAAATCGAAACAAAATCAAAGAAATTTAATAAAAATTTATATTTAAAAACTCAAAATAAATGCCGTTGAATGTTATTACAGGTAGAAAAATATGTCTTTATTAATTGGAACATTTATTATATCTAAGTTATATATAAGTTATAACCATCATTTTATTTTTTAATTCTATGTCTTATCAACTTAAATTTTTTCGGTGTCATCAGTGTTGGTCAAATTAGTGGTCGACTATAAATTTGCTGATCATTTGTCAAAGCCAAACTGGTCTGGTCAAATGGTCTAGCAATATGAACCAAATTAACAAATCAGACCAATCAAGAAATTGGATTATAGTTAAATTGGTCCAATTTGTCAATTTGTTCTTATAACTAGAACACTTGACCAACTTGACCAATGTCAAAGATGCTTAACTGTACTGGTCATTGGTCAAACTGGTCAGGTCAAATAGTCGATCAGCCCAACACTGGGTGTTATGTACTATTATTCTATTAGAGATCTTTAAATCTTAATAGTTTTGTTCTACGCATCATATTAAATATTGTACCTATGTAAATAACCTAAAAACTTTGTAAAAAAAAAACTAAAAACAAAATGAGATTAATAATTGTTATCTGTATACTTAAATTTTTCAAAAGAAATTTTTAAATAATACATATATAAAAGATCATATATTCGAAAATTTATATTTATATAACTTCTTTAAATTATTATTTTAAACTTTCTTACTTTTTTTGTAAAGCAAATAAAATTTTATCAATGTTGTAATAGTTAATTACTTATAACTTCAGTCAATAAAATATAATATTAGGAAGCACACTTTTTTTAACATATTCTATATTTCTTTTAAGTTCGAATAATTAATACTGTGAGAGGAGTCGGATTTTAAAGATTTATCACTTTCGTATAGTAAATTACTATTAAAAAATGATTTTCGGTTGTGTAACAGCATAATCATATAAAAAATTACCCTAATATCGATTAGGAAGGTAATAATAATAGGGGTCTAATTAATCATGTCTAATTAGAGATGGGCAAGGTAATTACGTAATAATATATACTTACAACTAATAACATGCTAAATTGGCGCATAGTGTGATTTAACTTTTTACGTAATAAGTAATTACATTGCCCATCTCTATGTCTAATAACAACACACAGTAAATAGATCCGACTCACTCTAGTTATAGTGAAGTCGCCTGTCTGAAAAAAATCCTTATTACAGCTTATATAGAGAGAATACTCACTACATAAAGTTGAAGTTTGGTAATTTTGTAATTAAAATTCTACATTATCACTATTTTGAAAGTTCACTAAGAGTGAGAGTTGTATGTTACAGTCCTTATTGGGTGCAAAGCATCCCGAATTTGATCGGGCCCCGAAAATGCTCAAATACGATGTGGGTATAGATGTGGGTATCTAATAATGGTATTATTCGTCAGATTATTCGTAAGATTACATAGAATGTGATACAAATCGATCCGGAAAATTTTAAATGTAAAAAACTAATTTAGATGTTCCGATCCGGAAAATTTTAAATGTAAAGAACTAATTTAAATATTTCGATTCGAAGAATTTTAAATGCTTTGAACATTGAAATATGAAAAATTAATTTAAGTGGTTCAACTTACCAGAGTATTTTAAAACATGAGAAATCATAAGTACTTTAAGCTATCCAGAGAATTTAAAACATGAGAACCTATAAGGGTTTCGACCTGCCCAAAGAATTTTAAAATACGGAGAATTATAAGCGGCTTGACTTAGAAAATTTAAATAAAAAATTAAAATACTGTATGTTGATATACTGATATAATATTATGACTCGAGTGTTTTTGTCAAATAATCAATTTTCTGCAAATAACCAAATTAAGATATCAATCTCTGCCAAGTAACCAAAATAAATTTTTTGGCTGAATAACCCGAGTTATTAGGCAGCCCGACCATAGTAATCTGACAAGTAATCTGATGAGTAAAATAACGTTACCCCACTTCATGCACGTATGCTATCGATAAAGGACGTGCGTACCAATTGTATTTTTGAATTGTAATGGCTTCTTTTTTTTAAAAAAAAAAGCGGATTTAAACTCCGATAGTAATAATCCCAGCAGTGCATAAGCCCGAAACTCCGACGGCTACTGTTAAATATAATCCTAATAGCAATAGTTAATTTTGTTATGATAAGTAAACCAGAAAATTCCAAGACTATTTTATCGAAATTTCATTATTTTCGGGATTTATTATGATTTGATATTACATCTAGGGCTTATCGTTACTAATCAAATTGAGGAATTTTACAATGTTCAAATTTTAGATGTTACGTACAACTTAAGAACAAAGAGCCACACAAAAAAGCCTTTTGATGGATTGATAGTTCTTTGTTATGCTAAATTGTAAAAAAAGAAATCATGTCATAAAATGTTAATTTATTGTTTTCTGATGAATAAGATATATTTATGTATCAATATATAAATTCGTATGTTTTTAAAACTGATCTTGCCAGATTGTGAAAAAAACAAAATAACAATCGTAGTTCCTTGTTAAGCTGATTTGTAAAAAATAAAAAGCAATTTATTTTTTACCATTCCATCTGCAAACCATATGTTGTTTATACAATTCAAAATTAAAAATAGAAGTACGTAAAGAATGTTTTTTCTTTTTTTGATGATAAGGCTATACAAAACTGGACTACGATTTCCATATTTATTTTCGATTTTTTTCCATGGTGATAGACCGATTCCATTTTTTAAAAATTCAAAGCTGTGTTACCAATGCTCTCTAATTGCAACATTTTATTAAATGTAACCTCATATAAATATAATAATGCAATAACAATCGCGTTTAATAAAACTTTATTAAAATCCAATCTCACGAAATTTATTGAATACATGCAATTATGGAGTTTCTAATTATGGGGGTTGACTGTATTGACAACCTTTTCCTATTTAAAGATCGAACTTTTAACGATTTATCGTGGCTGTGTGATTAAGATTCTTGACTCCTTAGAGAAAATCTTTTAATTACTATAAATTGACCTAATACCCTTTTTTTAACATTTTCATCTCTCAAGGGGAACCTTTTCGTCCTTTTACTATTAAAAAAAAAAATTCGCGTCGTATCATAAAAATTATTCACAAGAATAAATATATGATGAAATATTTTAACCGTTTTATGTTATTCTGTATGATATGGTTAACCGTGTTGAATATTTTTGTTAATGCGGATCAAGATCAAGATCATGATCATGATCATGATCATGATCAAGATCAATCATATCCAGTCGTAAAAAAAATTGGAACTATTACAGGTACTTGATTTCATTGCTTATAGTGTGTATACTCTCGCGTTACGATTTATTAACTTAAATGAAATGAATTTTATACGATTTGCATCATGCTAGATGAACCCAACACTGAATTACCCGCAAATCTTACCGTACCATCTGGAAACTGTTTTCAATTTTTACTATATGGTTCTGGTGTTCAACAATACCAATGTCTTATAAATAATGGTACACCTCAATGGTCACAAGGTAATAATTATATTAGCATTTATTGTTGAATATAATTTTTGTCTTGTATTAACGTTCTCATTTAACTTTAAAGTTGGTCCGGACGCTTATTTAATTAATGATATCAAAAAAGAATCATTTACTTCTAAATATGAAGTTGCTCATCATTATTTTCAACCAACGCGTAAGTTTAAATTTACATATTTTGAAAATAAATCTTTTTATGTGCCATTCCTAATTTGTAAACATTATTAGCTGTAAATGGTGGCAGAATTACTTGGCAGTCCATTGTTAAGAAAGATGACTCTTTAGTTATTGCGAAAATAATCGCTTCATCACCTTCTCCCAATGGTTCTGGAAATGTTCCATGGCTTCAAACTCAAGCAACCGTTAGTATTTTATCTAATTTCTTATTTAATTTTTATCTTCAAGCTTATTAATTTCCCATTTATGAAATAGTCCAATCAAGGAAATGGAAGGTTTTCGAATATTACTTATGTTCTTCGAATTAATACCAAAGGTGGTGTTGCTCCTTCAGTGGATCAATGTAATTATTTTATTTTATTTTTTTATTTGTTTTTATTTTGTTTATAATTCATTTAAATCCGGTTTAATCTGTTAAAATTCTCATAAACAGGCGGATCAACTTATCAAAATAGTCAAACAGCCGCTATTAATTATACTACCGAATATTGGTATTTTTCTACTTGTACATAAGATGACTAATCATCTGATAATTTATATTCACTTTATATTATATTGGTAAACTTTAAAACCAAATAAGTTCTCATTTAATCAATAGTTTTAACTTAATTCATTAATAAATATTAAAATTATAATTTTAATTTAAATGTTTTAGATTAGATAATAAATATTAAAATTGTAATTTTAATTTAAATGTTTTAGATTAGATAATAAACAATTAAAGTCAAAGCTATTTAGTTATATAATTTTAAGAATAACATGATTAACTTGACTGTTCATTTAATTAACTAAATTCGTATCTAAAATGAAATTTGTGAACTACTTTTAAGTAGTGATTAGTGATTGTTAAGAGGATGTTAACAACCTGGCCTGGTCCTGTCTTATCCATTTTGGTCCATTTCTGATCTACAGTCTGGTTCAAACTGGTTTTGCGGACCGTTCTTGTGGTCCATTAGTTTAAAATAAGACCATATAACATCTCTAATGATTAGAAAATTGAATTAGTAGACTCGAGTAGAGTACATAAGGAAGGGTTCTGCAAATACCGGCACGGACATGGGTTTGGCTTATAAAATTACTGTGTAATTTTTTTTGTAATTTTACGTATTTTTCCAACCAATAAAATTCAACAAAAATTGACTGAAACTATAACCAACGCTAACCTAATGCAGGCTAACTTGTCAGGAAAATGATAGGATCCCCTTCAAATGCATTATGATAGGATCCCCTTCAAATGCATTGTGATAGAATCATAAATAAAATTTAGTTAAACGTGCATTTAGAGAGGTATTGCATTTAAGGAAGTAAAAATCTATATTATATTAGCTGGACTCGAGCGAAGGCTTGCATTTAGGGAGGCTTTTCATAGGGCGTGCATTTAAGGGGTTGCATTCTGTAATTAAAATTTTATGTAATAATAACGATAATATATGGGGTCTGTGCCTTGAAAATGACAATATGGGACATAGTAATTACTATGTTCCATAACGCCATTTTCAAGGCACAGACCTTATATATGAATGAGTACAAGGGAAAATGAGATGAGGCAAACGTGACTATGGTGATTTGGAATGTTTCTTTATAATTTATATAGTGATCCTTATGTGCTCTTTACCCGCACATAAGAGTCGTAACCAATCGCTTTCAATGTTACGCCTTTAAATAATTTCTGGAATGTATGATTAAAGGAGGCTTTGACCATCCCTTATTGCTTTCGCTTAAGGTTTCGCTTAAGGTTTCGCTTAGAATTTAAACACACTGCCACGTGTAACTTAATTGAGAGTGTTTTAGTTTCGTGTCTCTTTACTCACTGTATTATCAATTTGGCCATGTGTCATAACTGAAGATACTCAGATAATTTGTGGCGTCTTAATTCTTTGCTTACCGTTCGGAAGTGTCACTTTTGCTCGTAGCAATGCCAGATAGTGTTAGACGAAATTAACACAGGTCAAAACTTTCATAATTTCGGTACTTACTTTGCTGAAAAAATTACAAGTCACACTCCATATGGGCGAAAATTTTTGATGGGAATGTTATGAAATATCGATATCACATGAATATTATTATTAATTTTTAATAATCACCAAAATCAAACGTCCATGTGCGTTATAGATATAGTAAAGTTTTTATTAATGGAACGAATCACTTCACTATAACGAGAGTGACTTGTATATGTGAATTTTTATGTGGCATCTACGTATATATAACGATAATACAGAATGTTAATTTATCGAAACTTAATTTCGTAACACAACCAACCAAAGTAATATTTTGAAGTAGAATTTATAATTAATTTTTATTTTTCAAGTTTTTTATTACTGTGTACATAAACATAGTGTGCAAATAGTAATTCTCAAAAAAATATTTTATAAAATTTGGGGCTAGAAGTCTTGCTTTTAAAATTTTAACATTTTAATTTATCGCTATCGCTATATTAGGTACGTACAAAACAAACGTATGCAAGTATGTACGTATGTTCTTGTCAGGTTTATCTATCGCCTTTATCTGTCACGTTTATCTATCACTTTTACCTTTTCTATTGCCTTGGGATGTCCTTTGTAAGCCGCCAACTTCATATACTTTAACCCTTTTTCGAACTCTCTTTTATATAACGCATTGCCTAAATTAAATAATGCATCTCTATTTCCATTGTCGGCAGCCATCGTTAAATATTTAATCAACTCTTTTCTTTCTTTTGGCCTTACATCTTTAGCAAGTGCGTAAAACACTTGCGCATCTAAATTACCTTCATCCGCAGCTTCTTTAAAGAGTCGAGCTGCTTGTGCATAATCTTTCTTAATACCACCATGACCATAATATAAATATTGTCCTTGCCAGTATTTCGATTTTGGACAACCAAGTTTAGCATTGGCTACAAAACATTCCCAGGCTTGCTTCCTACTCTCGTTAGTTTCTTTCTTGTGAAGCCTAATCCCTTCATCAAAAGGTAATATTTCTGACCCAAAATTATCAAAATTAATATCTTCAAATTCTTGAGTTAATAGATCCTCATCTTGGGAAAATGATCCATCCAAATCTAAAGTATTATCATCAAAAACTACTGGTGGGTCATCTTTTGCAAGTTTTTTCAATGATTCAAACAATATCATAATGCTTGGTCGTTGGTCTGGATCTTGATGCCAGGCTAAGCAAAAAGGGATTTTTAATTAAAAAAATCCTTCTGATCATGAAAAATATATGAATAATTTAACTACGTACCTCCTTTAATGATATTTTCAAATTCCTTCTGGATTACTCTTTCTTGTTGTGATATTACTTGACCAAAAGTAATCTTTTCTCTACCACCATTTTGCACATATTTCATTATATTTTTTAAATCCAAATCTTTATATGGAATTTTTTCAAAGGAAAGTTCCCAAAGAAGCATCCCGAAACTATGAAAAAATAATCATGTCAAATGCATGAAAAAATTTAATAAAATTGAGGGAAAATTTTAAATTTGTTTAATCTTTTACCTGAAAACTTCACACTTTTGAGAATATGGGACTTCAGAATTCCGAATTTTTTCTGGAGCTAGCCAACGAATGACTTCTAAAATACGATTACCAATATCCATAGATATATTAGAAGTCACACTACGAGAGAATTCGAAATTTGCGATCTTTGGTTGATAATATTTAGTCATCTGTTCAGATTACAAAATCAAACAAAGATAATTAATCATAAAATATTTAAAGAATTTTAGGCATTAGAAGGAATATGTATGCACTTACCATAATATTTTCACATCGAACGTCATGATGAAAAACTTTGACCACACCATTTAAAAACGAGAGACCAAGACAAATATCATGAGCTATATTTGCTTTTGTTTGCCATGAAAGATCTTTGATTTCATATAATGTTTTTAAATTTCCTAATTCAGCCCATTTAAAAACTAGAATGGTCTTTCCTTCATAATGAGATACGCCATAAAATTTAAGAAAGTAATCACAATCACTTAACATTTCCAATATTGCTAATAGGGATTGAGATTGTCCGACAAGATCTATAGGTTTACAAGCAACTTCTGTCTGTTGTGATATATATTTTTTCTTGACCACTTTTCCAGAGCGAGTGTTGACATTTAAATCTTGCAATAAATTCGGATCTATGTTTGTTGGTTTAAAGTCTGATTTATCACCTGTTCGATTCATCATCTCTGCAGCAAACTGCAATTTCGTGTCAACTTGATCGCTTAATTTAGCCAGCCACTAGAAGAATGATAAAACATAAATTTAATTACAGTAGTATTAAATTTAATTAGTATTGATAAAATTTTGAAGCATCTCTTTTACATAAAGTATTAGCACTTACATCTTGTATTCTATTAAGTTCGTCATCTACTCGTTGTTGATCAATAATTCTTTGTTCCTCATTGTAAATTAAGGTGCTAAAATTCAAAAATTTCATACGTGTGTCGAATTCTTTAGACAGGTTATCAAAATTTTCTTTTACGTTATTACCAGAAATAAATTTTTTAAAACTCCCAAGTTGAGACACTTGTTTAGCAAAATTTTTCATTTTTTCCAAAGTCTGTCTAAATTTTATCAAATTATCACAATATTCTTTATCAAGAGAAGCATCTTTCTTTCGCAATAATTTCTTAATAGGGTATTCAGCTAATTGTACTTGATCTAATAATATGCCACACATTTCTTCATTACATTGTGCCTTCTTATGTATGTCACACATTTCTTCACATAATTTAAGTATAGCAGTTGCTACAACTGCGATAGGCGCGAAAGCTGAAACTGCAGTGGATACTGTCTCCGCAGTACCAATAGCTTCCTTGATGCAGTCCGGTTTAGAAACATTAGAAACATTAATGTCAATCCCATTATTTTCTACCATTTTAAATATTAATATATGCGTAAAATAAATTTATATAAATGCTAAGTTGTTGAAAATGTGAATAGAGATGACTATAATGTTTATGACCGGCCTGCGGTCTAAGGTTCTAAGAGTATAAAGAGAAAAAAAAAAAAAAAACAAAAAAAAAAAAATTTCACAACTAGATTATGATAAAAATCGAATCTCAAAAAAATGGCGGGTTATATAGATGTATGTTTACATATAACGTCTTCAAAATTTTTATTAATTGTCTCTTTGTTTAAATAACAAGGAAATTGTCAATATTGTACAACACATACGAACCAGCTTGTGTCTCAAACATGTTTTAAATTCAATTGGACTTTTTTTACAATCCTAATTATCTTAATAATACTAAGGCTACTACATATTCATTACATTGTTATCATTATATATTGTCTTAATACGATTCATGATCACTCTTATCGTAATACAATATTGATTAATATTCCTCTACGTATATATATCTATAATCTTCATTCTGATATGGATTTCCCTTATAAAGATTCAATGGAATACAACGCAATAGCACTTTCTTAAATTTAGATTCGTTTAAAAATCCTTTTTTGTCCACAATGACAACCATATCATTTTATAATAGACTCTTGAAACAAAAGATCCTTTAATCCAATCACATGGAAATATTATTTGCTAAAAAAAAACAAAGCTTATCGTTATGATTGCATGCATGAACGTATATAATAAAGAAATTACGACCAAAAAGGAAGCTTCTTGTTTTTCTGGCACCAAGCGCATTTCACATATCCGAGAATGATGTTACAAATATCAATGTTACTTAAAATTGGTTAAAATTATGTAACTCTTTGTAATGCAATTTAAATGATTATACTATACATAGATAAGGTTTCTTGACATGCACACTTTGTTATGCTAGTAGTCGCATTTATTCCTGGATTAGCAATGATGCCATAAAGTATAACGTTAATTAGTTCTTAAAGTTAATATAATGACATTTAACTATAATGCTTAATTTATTGTCTTATACCATTTGGCAGACTATAGGAACTTACGTTCTTAGATAAATCTCATCCATGATTGGATCAACTTTATTAAATTAGACTTGCTCCGGATCTGCATCGGATTGCTTCAAATTTATAGACATTTTTTTAACGTTAACCCACACCAACTTTGATTGGGTTTAACCCGGAATGGCGCCAGAATATATTGCTTTATTAAAGCTCGATTTATACCCAGAATTTATGAAAACAGTTGTAAATTAAACCCGTCCCTACCCATTTTTGGGATGGGCCGAGTTTATGTTGTTACGAGATAAAATTATCATTTTCGAAAATAAAGAATTAAGACACCATAAATGTTGAGGCTTTGGATCTTCGGTTATGATACATGGGGCTTATCGGCCGAATAAACAGATATGAAGCTAAAAATCATAACGACATCATATAATTCTAAAAATAAGTACTGGTACCCTTTTTTTATATATAATGTTAGCCAAAATTGGTATAGTGCAGACTGGTGTGCTTATTTTTGAAAGGTAGTTATTTTTAGAACTATACAATATTTATCGTTATCTTTTGACTAAAATCGCATATCGATATGAAATAAAATACTAAAAGCTCATCTGAAATATATATAAGAAATGTGCACATTGTAATAGAGATGTCTATCATGTGATCCTGACATAGCAATGTGCAATAAGTAAAAAAGAAGGATAATGATTACATGAAGCATTTTATCTCAAAGTCTTTACATACAGGATCGCGATTGAGTAAATTTCGTTTGATAGAATAGATGATAATGTCGCGCCTAAAGTTAATACATGTTTGTCTAAACTTGTAACTTCAGGCATCTGAGGCCTAAAATTGCCTAAAATGATCTAAAGTTACTAGGTAAAATGCATAAGATGACCTAATTTTAGGGTTAATTTCAGGTGTCAAATTTGGTTCTATATATTGTTGGGTTCGGAAGATTGCGACTCGGTCGCTCCAAAATTCTAAACCTCGTGTAACGTACGACAAGTAACCTT